AACTATAGCTACAGCTACAACAAGAAAGCAAGAAAGGTTACGCTAAGACGATATTAGTTTAATTAGGTAGCGCGTCATTGATTTCTGAGTTTCTTTGTTGCTGTGTTGCTGTTAGATGAAAGGGTTAGGGTGAAAGGTATAGCTGCCAACGACATACGCTGACGTATGTATTTTTTTCGTTTACATAAATCTTTGCATATTGCAGCGAAAGCTTATACGCACTCTATACGCGATGTGGCTGCACTGTATGAACTGGATCATGTCCATAGACTGTGCTCATACGTTATAAGCCTTATAGTGCAGATATGCTCACAGTTCTCTAATCATGTTTTCTTTTATTTTTCGTAAGTTTCCGATTCTTTGCGTGTATCTTGTACATTATATACTAACGTGATGATGGGATAACCGGCTCTAACGTAGCCTACGTTCCCATATTTTTTGCCTCATATAAAAAAGAAAAAAAAAAGAAACGCCAGGCCTGTGCGGAACGCGCAGCACAGTCACAGCGAAAGCTAGAGGAGCGGCCTTTGAGAGCTTTTTCTAAACACTTTTTGAATAACTGCTACAAGCAGACTTGCTGGGTACCCACTACGCCATAAATAATCATAAATTTTGTGTAGTAGGCCAGCATTCACTGTGCTATCTTTCGTCATTCTTCAGAGAAGCGTGGTATGCGCTACACACTTGCTAGGGATATATATATATATATATATATATATATATATATATATATATATATATATATATATATATATATATATATATATATTTTGTGCAGTGGCTTACGACGATGAAGAATTATGCGCCACAGTTCATAGGTGACCAAAAACAAGGTTTTATAATAAATTGGATCATTGGACGGCCCACCTTTTCTAGTCAATTCGCATTGTGTGACGCCTATAGGTGTTCCTTTGATGTTCTAAAACGCCGTATTCCTCATACTAACGCGATTCCTTTCCCGACATCAAGCCTGCCTAAGGCAAGTTTAGAAACTGTTTCAAAGCACCGGCGTGGCTCAGTGGTAGAATACTGGGCTGGCACGCTGCAAATTTGGGTTCGAATCTTATTGTGTCACCAGGGTGTCTTCTATTTTCTGAGTTTTTGTTATTTCTTGCGCCACTGGTTACGGACACCGGCGGCGGCGGCAGACAACTACGACGCTGCGCGTGACCCGTGTTCCGATCTCGTAACAGCTTTCACTGTAAAAGACTTGGAACTCTGTATTGAGTCCTTCTGTCCAGCGCCTCCTATAGTTGGTTGTCTTCTTGAGCCCATTTCTGAAAGAACGCCGCTCAGTGCCGGGAATCTGCGCATCTCCTTGACTGTCACCGTTGCGTATTGTCGCCGAGCACCGTGCAATAAACACATTTACAACGTTTTTATTTCGCGAAGTAGAGACATAGAGAGGAATATGCAATGTCCGAGAGAGAACGAGGAGCCGAAAGAAGGAGGGGGATGTACAGGATACGAGAAACGACAAAAACGCGAAGCCTTTGTTATTATAAGGCTTCATAGGAAATACGGATCGAGTATGTAATATACGACAGGCCAAGCCGGTTGCGGCGTTCGCTTCCCATTCAATTCGCGCGAGGAAAAGTTATATGGCTGTTTGACATAACGGTGTCGACGGGCCTTTTCGACGCCACGTCACAGACGAATGGCTCGCTCCTCGGCTGTCCGACGCGTTGCTGCCCTCTCGTGCGTTTCGTAGGTTTTCCACACTTCTCGAGCATTGCCTTATATTTCGCGTGTCGTCCGCCCCGCTCTCATGACTGCCGCCAAAATGTGAAAGATGGAGCAAGGTTCGTGGAATCGCGCTTCTAGGGAAATATAAGGGTCGCACCGCAATATGGGAAGAGATTGTGATCCGCGTGTTTGTTTGTTTGTTTGTTGTTCGTTCGTTGATTTGTCTGTTTTGTTTAGTTTGTTATGCAAACAGCTTTCTTTGGTTACTTCGGAGGTTTCCGACGTGGTATGTGTCACTCGCACTGTCGGACCGACGCAGACACACCGCTTAAAACTCCAGAATTTCGTATTAGTGCTATAACCAACGGGCAAGGTAACTTAACGAAAAGGTGGTCGTCCGTTATAAGTTATATATATTTTTTCAGGGCGCAAGGAAACGCCCAGAAGAACTTTAACAACTCGTATAAAATAAATATAAATGTTTCAATGAGGGCTGTTGTTTGAGCTGACATTTTGACAAGGCTTGTGCAGAGTTAATATTTTATATTTAAACTTACCCATTTCATTTGGCTGCTGTTTCTTTACAAAATTCTGATTTTGATGTGCTTTATTTATTTTTTCATTTATTCAAAATAACTTACAGACCCAACAGAGCATTGTGTAAGGGGAGCATAAAATGAATAGATAAACGAATTGGTACAATTTCCATACAAACAATAACATAAACTAATTGTCAATTATAAAACAAGTCCTAACGGGAATAACAATGAGAAAGTATTAATAATAATTTTAACAGGAATAGAACGGCAATAAAAATTAGATGAGTATACATGTGAAATAATCACGTGAAACAATCTAAAAAACAAGCACAATTTGTGAAAAGAATTTCCAATATTCAAAAGAAAACATCACTCAAGAATACACACCAGAACTGAATGACATGTTAGTGTTCAAATCATCAAAAAAAAGTTTAAATTAAGAGAAAAAAAAGCGAGATACTAGTAGTGAATAAACGCGTAGGTGCTAATTTTGATATGGATAAAACGAGCAATTAATCCTGGAAATGAGTGAGTAGAAGGTGCCGGAATTTTTCTCGATTGCGTTCAGCTACGATTTCATCTGGAAGGCTGTTCCACATGCGGATGACACGGAAGAGTGCAGATGAGTTAAAAATGTATGTTTTACCGTACATGCGTGTGAATGAAAGATGATTATTCAGTCTCTTTGGTGTGAATGCAGATGTTTGCAATGTCATTGATAATGACCTTGTTTCATGTACGCACTTATGAAATAATGAAAGGAGGTTTATATTACGTCGGCTGCTCAAAAGGGAAAGTGATAAGTTTTTTTTTAATTTGTGTTATGCTTGCGCTATGATCGTAGTTTTGTGAGATGAATCTATAGCCGCTCTATTCTGGACCGACTCCAGCATGTTAGTTAAATAGCTGTAATGAGGGGATTAAACCGCAGAAGCGAATTCTAGCTCAGGGCGAACAAATGTTACGTAAGCTAAAGCACGTATATTTGTGGGCGTCTTACGTGGATTGCGGCGTATGTAGCCTAATGGTCGTGAGGCGTCACTGCAGATGTTGGTGATGTGGGTAGTCCAAGAAAGGTTAGATGTGAAGGTTACACCTAAATATTGAAAAGAGTCAACACTAGATACGGGATTGCCATTAATAACGTAAGAAAACTCAGAGTTAGAATGTTTGCGAGAGAAGGGCATTACTTTACATTTACTTGAATTAAGGGACATTAGCCAACAATTACACCAATTGCTGATGAGGTCGAGGTCATTTTGAATTATTACGTAATCACAAGTACTAGTTATTGCTCGGTAAATTATACAGTCGTCAGCGAAAATGCGCACTTGTAAGGATAAATTACTTGGTAAGTCGAAACGTTCAGAAAAATGAAAATGTTATGGTTCATCCCGGCTTTCTGTATGTGCGTCGCTGCAAATAAAGAATAAATGAGAGACCGTTTCGTTTTCAATAAAGATTAGTCTCTCTTGCGCGGAATATAGTGGTTCTTATTATTTTATAAATATTTTTTGCCAACATTGCACATGAAAAAGAAAACGGAAAAGCCACTAAACGTTTTTCTTTCTTTAATATTTTGGCATAAACAGCATTAGAATCTGATATTTTGCACTGAAACAACAGTCGAATGAAATTGATCAGTTCTAAAATAATCGCCCCGTATTTGTTAACGCAGCAGCTTCCTTGACAAAGGCAAGTCCACTCGTCTAAATTGTCACTGCGGTGGCGTTTTCACCTCCAAGATTTTTAATACCTTCAAGCTGCCATCTTCGCCATAACTTCCGCCTTATTCGTATTAAATTGATATCACTCGCGCGCACATACTAGTGACGTCACCAGGAGGCGTTAGCGACACGTGGGACTCGTCACTAACAAGCAGCATAGGATCGTGCGAGTACAAAACTTAAGCGGCTGTTTACAAGTAAATACTGGGAAAATTGGGCGAACGTTACTTCACGCCTGCTTCTTCCCCGTGACGTCACTTCCCGCTCACGACTAAGTTCCGTTGTGTCACTTCCGCTTCGTCACAAGATCAAGTGGTACGTACACAAGCATTCCCGTCTCGACTGCTAATCCGAACGTCACGTGATTGAATCCCGACTGCGGCTGCTGCATTTTCGACAGAGGCGAAAAACGTTTGAGGCCCATGCACTGTGATTTAGGGGCTTGTTAAAGATCCCCAGGTGGTCGACACGTCCGGAGCCCTCCACTGCGGCACTCTCATAATCATATCATGGTTTCGGGGCGTTAAATTTGGCATATCAATCAAATTTTAACTGAATTCCTAAACATTTTTGTGTCGCATGATTACATGCTTCATGAGACGAAAATGTTTAGGCGGCTACGTTTGGGAAACATGAAATCAAGCGATAAGCTATTATTCCGTCCTTGTTAACTATCACTGCGGTGTCATGCGTAACGCGGGTGCCGACACTTTAGTTTGCCGCGCAGGAGGGTCGCCTGTATTACGCGATATTGCCATACGGCAACACACGCACGCAGTCCTCGTTCAGTTGGCGCTATTTTGCTCATATTTGGAATCAACAACCCGTGTGCCCCTTGTCTCGGTTTTTCTGTCCACGCACTTTGGGATTTCTGTTTGTTATCTAACTGCGATGCGATTTACACCTTGGTGGTGCTTCTAAGCACGTCGAATTCGTTATACACGCAATGAACCTCATTAAGCGTAGCTAATACTTACGTAGCGATTAATCCCTGTTTAAGAGGAATCGGTTTGAAGTACGGCGCCTAAGCTTTTCCGTGAGGTGAGAGGACTGGTGCCCTTAGAGGACATACGGACAAGAATGATCCGATCCGATCGCAGCTAGCAAGCACTGAAGGAAACGTCTCTAGAAGATAGCCAAGTCGCGATTGAGCCTCAGTGGGCGACACCTTTAGTGAGATAGTTAACGCACGTCAGAGTGTTCTATTGGTACCACTTGCGCGATGCGCACGTTTATAATCAAGTGGCAAGGAGGAAAAAAATTACGTTGACGGCTCATAACTGAAAATAACTAAGATGAATTCAACAACAGGGCTTCTTCAAGCTACACAGTATATTGACATTACAAATATAAAAGTAGGCATAACTGACGCGTGTTAAAGGCACGAGGCCTAACCAACTAGTGCACTATGAAAAAATAATGACAGAGGGCGTATAAACGTAGAACACAGAAAAGCGATAGATGAATTAGGAATCGGTAAAAGTTAAAAGGTTTGTAATAAAAAGGTTGTCGAAGTAGAGAGTAATGTTATTAATAAGGAAAAATATAGTCGATGCATCTACGATGAATATGAGACGGCGTAATGACTGGAATACAAAAAAAAGGTATTCAATAAAAAGACTGAAGAAGGATGACTCAGAAATTGTATTTCGCTACGCGCTACATCCTTCAGGTACTTTACTTGATGTTCTTAGACTAGTTATTGAAACTGCAGTTCCTGGAGGCGGAAATGTTGTAGGCCCGTGTGCTCAGATTTGGGTGCACGTTAAAGAACCCCAGGTGGTCAAAATTTCCGGAGCCCTCTACTACGGCGTCTCTCATAATCATGTCGTGGTTTTTGGGACGTTAAACCCCACAAATCAATCAATCAAACTGCAGTTCCTTTTCCAGTTCAAAGTTGCGAAGTTCAAAGTTCCAGTTCAATGTTTAATTCAACCGCGCTGTTCAAATCTAGTAAGACTGTCAACCGACAAAACCACCAGCTCAGTTTTACCAATTCCATGCTCTATTATTATGGTAAAGCGTATTTGGCTTGTATACCCCCGGTGATTGCACGTGACAACGCGTGCTAAAGAGACTTCGTTCTGCGCAGCTAGCCGGCGTGCGAGTCGCCTCAGTGGGCGAATGTCGGGTCGCATGCAACTACACCGTTCCGAGCCGCGGAGCAGCTGGCGCGGATCCTCTGTCTTCGACAGAGTTACAGCGCACGGGGAGGGCGCGAAAAGGGATCTGCTCGCTGTCGACCGACCTCAGTAGGCTACCCGAGAATAGCCGGCAGGAGGGCTAACTGCGCAGAGCTTGCTTCGCACCCCCGCTTCTGGAGCACGCATCGCAGGCATCAGCTCTGGTGCGCGCGCTGGCGCGATCACCTGGATCGCGAGGAATGCGCCTCGCCTTCTTGCCGCGCTTACGTCGCTCGTGCGGATTCGCCAAATTCCAAAGCGCTCCTCGGTCGAGCCCCGGCAGGCACGTGATTAGCTGTGCAGGAGTCGCGGGGCCCCCAAAAATGGGGCTCTTGGTTGCAACTGTATACTTATCAATGGGCTGCAAGAGTTCTGTATTTACCAGAAGCGCCGTAGATAGTTTTACCAGTTTAATGACCATAGGACTATGACATGATTACGGGAGATGCCGTAATGTGAAGCTACAAAAAAAAAAATTGCCCGCAGCTTCCCTCGGGGGAACACTGAGGAGGATGCGGACCATATAATTGGTTAACGGGGTGTTAAAGTGCGACTTACTTGGGTCGATGGCTAAATTGGTTAACGTGGTTGTGAAATGGGGTGTTAAATTGCGACTTACTTGGGTCGATGGCTAAATTGGTTAACGTGGTTGTAGGAGGGGGTGTTAAATGAGTGAACACGTACACACGTATGCGAAAGGGCGGCGCTGGTCGAAGGGACGTCGATCATTGTGTTTTTGGATTCGTTGGAATTCATTTCACCGCGACCTTGGACGTCGACGCGCCGTACAAACCAACCGACGAGCGGCAACTGAGCGAGCGAGCGCCGACCTTGAGTATATATAGAGCACGACGGCGCATGCACTGTCAGCTGTTGAATGTTCTCGAAGCGCGACGCCACATGCGCGTCCACTGGAGAATCAGGAGAATTGTAGATGTCGAACGCGGTGTGTAGAGGAGGAAGGGTGCACAGATGGTGGAGGAGTGAAGCGCGCGCAGTGTGTAGAGGAGGAAGGGATGCACAGATGGTGGAAGAGTGGGCGACGGCGCGACGGCGCATGCGCGCGTGTCAGCTGTCGAATGTTCGAGAAGCGGTGTGGACGGCGCGGACGACGCGGACGGCGCACTACAAGGCGCGAGTATAAGATGCTCCGCATCTAAAAAAAACGACCGCCCGAAATTGTGGTTATACGAGGGAAAAGAAGAGAAAAGTGAGCCCCCTAACTGTCTGCATCAGCGTGCGACACCTCAACAGTAGCTCACAAAAGAAGGGGGTGAGGAGGGATTAAACGGATAGGATTAAAGGTATATATATATAGAGAGAGAGTGAGAGATGCGCTTGGACAGTGAGCGAAATTTTTCAACGTGTATCTAAATCTAAGTATTGTAACATGGACATGTGCGGTATTGGCACTGTACATTGAATAAAATTAGACAGAGCCACAAAGAAAGACAAAGGAGACGCAAAGGTGTACACGCAGTATCTAAGCATCTCGCCAGCTATCGACATCTTGACTGCCTGCGCAGTCGGGATTCGATCTTGCGAACCTTCTGGTCATAGTAGTCAGTACCAACAAAACCACAAAACCTTCGTTCTGCGCAGCTAGCCGGCGTGCGAGTCGCCTCAGTGGGCGAATGTCGGGTCGCATGCAACTACACCGTTCCGAGCCGTCGCCACGGAGCAGCTGGCGCGGATCCTCTGTCTTCGACAGAGTTGCAGCGCACGGGGAGGGCGCGAAAAGGGATCTGCTCGCTGTCGACCGACCTCAGTAGGCTACCCGAGAATAGCCGGCAGGAGGGCTAACTGTGCAGAGCTTGCTTCGCACCCCCGCTTCTGGAGCACGCATCGCAGGCATCAGCTCTGGTGCGCGCGCTGGCGCGATCACCTGGATCGCGAGGAATGCGCCTCGCCTTCTTGCCGCGCTTACGTCGCTCGTGCGGATTCGCCAAATTCCAAAGCGCTCCTCGGTCGAGCCCCGGCAGGCACGTGATTAGCTGTGCAGGAGTCGCGGGGCCCCCAAAAATGGGGCTCTTGGTTGCAACTGTATACTTATCAATGGGCTGCAAGAGTTCTGTATTTACCAGAAGCAAAAAATTGCCCGCAGCTTCCCTCGGGGGAGACACTGAGGAGATGCGGACATATATTGGTTAACCGGGGTGTTAAAGTTGCGACTTACTTGGGTCGATGGCTAAATTGTGTTAACGTGGTTGTGAAATGGGGTGTTAAATTGCGACTTACCTTTGGGTCGATGGCTAAATTGGTTAACGTGGTTGTAGGAGGGGGTGTTAAAGAGTGAACACGTACACACTTATGCGAAAAGGGCGGCGCTGGTCGAAGGGACGTCGATCATTGTGTTTTTTGGATTCGTTGGAATTCATTTCACGACCGCGACCTTTGGACGTCGGCGCGCCGTACAAACCAACCGACGAGCGGCAACTGAGCGAGCGAGCGCCGACCTTGAGTATATATAGAGCACGACGGGGCGCATGCACTGTCAGCTGTGTGAATGTTCTCGAAGCGCGACGCTCACATGCGCGTCCACTGGAGAATCAGGAGAATTGTAGATGTCGAACGCGGTGTGTAGAGGAGGAAGGGTTGCACAGATGGTGGAGGAGTGAAGCGCGCGCAGTGTGTAGAGGAGGAAGGGATGCCCAGATGGTGGAAGAGTGGGCGACGGCGCGACGGCGCATGCGCGCGCGTTCATCTGTCGAATGTTCGAGAACGTTGTGGACGGCGCGGACGACGCGGACGGCGCACTACAAGGCGCGAGTATAAGATGCTCCGCATCTAAAAAACACCGCCACGATGGGCTGCGCGTGGCAGTACGAACGCTAAGGGCGCAGCCTTGTCAATGTATTTTTGAGGGGAGACGCGAATTTGCACAGCCCAAAGAGGACTATGCGCATGGACATGTGCGGTATTTGGCACTGTACATTGGAATAAAATTAGCCAGAGCCCACAAAGAAAGACAAAGGAGACGCAAAGGTGTACACGCATATCTAAGCATCTCGCCGCTATCGACATCTTGACTGCTGCGCAGTCGGGATTCGATCTTGCGACCTTCTGGTCAGTAGTCAAGAACCACAACCACAAAACCATGCAGCGCGGGTGATCTGAAGCTCTGTATAGGACAAATTCGACTAAAATAGCATATCCACCTTTTCACAGAGGGAAAAAAAATTGCCCGCAGCTTCCCTCGGGGGAACACTGAGGAGGATGCGGACCATATAATTGGTTAACGGGGTGTTAAAGTGCGGCTACTGGCCCACAGGTTCGCTCCCGGTCCCGGCAGTCGAATTTCGATCGAGGTGAAATAGATGTCCGCGTACTATACGATGTAAATACACGTTAAAGAAAACTATATGGTTGAAATTTCCGGAGCCCTTTTCTAAAGCGTCCCTCATAATCTACTCGTGGTTTTGAAAATGTAAAACTTTATATATGAAGAGTTCCTCTCTTCGGCGTGTACATTATAACGTGATTTTGTTACCTTAAAATGATCATTTGTGCGACCAGAACACTGTCTGGTGACACCGATCCCAGCTGCACTTCTTAATTCGGTTCGCAGACAGAATTTTGTGCACGAGGCCGCGATGAGAGTTACGGGTTCGCGCTATACTTCATTTCCCGTCACTTTATGGATGTCGCCGTTTGCCGTGGTGCACGCAACTAACCAAGCTTTAAGACAGACGACAATGTGCATAAGCACTTGTGACGTGTCTTCGTTTGGCTAAAGACCTCACGTCTGGACCCTCCCTTCTCCTTTACGCACGAAAGCTACCCTACGACCAACTACACCATGCGTAACCTTTCTCTTCTGCCGCGAAACAGCGGGGTTCTTTCATGGGTGTACGACATAGAGGAATAAGA